TTTTATCAAAATTTCTTTTAAATAATTAAATTCTTCTGAAAAATTTTATTAAAATACAGATATTGAAAATCATTGAATTCATGAAACTTTTTTAAAATAATTGAAATGTTGCCAAAATAATTTTTTGATTTGTAACTTCTCCAGAATTCAATTTTTTGAATAAAAATACTGGATTATGTGGAATAAAAGTTAATAACATCAATTAATTCTGAAAAACCCAATATAAAAAGTCTTCATTGCTTTTTAACATACACAATTTCCGGGATATATTTATATTATTTGGCAGAATATTGTAAAATTTCCAACATCCCCGAATGTCGATTTTTAATTTTTCTTTTTGTATATTCATTTCGGATCAGTTGAAAATCATTCTGTCACTTTTTTTCTAGAAAAATATATAGACGAGGTACAGGTACATAGCATACGGGTTTTTTCGCTTAGCAAAGAAGTCACTTTGAGGGAACTTGATTTTTATATAACGTCGGTTGTTTTTTTTGTATTTTTTAATCTAGAACGTAAAATAGCAAAAAACAAATACTTTTGCTAAATGTCAATGCTAAATGAAAATTATAATCATTGCAAATTTAGAAAAATGAAAATTTTGCCAACAGCGAGAAAAATCTTTTGTGATTTGCAAAAAAAATTATGCGAATATAAAGAAAATTTACTTTCAAATTAATTGATCGGCTTATACAAATCTATAATATAGTTGTTTATAGTTAAAAATACATATTTTCAATCTTAATTATTATCCTATCACTAAACTATATGGAACTACGCGCTTATAAAGTTCTGAACATTCAAATCAACGAAATTTATTCATCTTTTCTTCAAATTCATTAAAATTAAAATTTAATTTAATTTTTTTAAATTAAAATTTCATCAAAATTTATGAAAATAATTGTATTCTTTCCAGAAATTTAATTAAAATTCTATTAGGTACGAAAAAATTTAATATATTTATAAGAATAATTGAAAAATATCTGAAAAAAATAATAATTTTATCATTTATCATATAATAATAGAAAAAATTGAAATTAATGAGTTTTTTAAAAAAATTTTATAATAATTTTTAAAAACAATGAAATATTTTAAAGAAATTTTAAGAAATTGAAAATTGAAAAAGTAATTTTATTATTTATGAAAATAATTGAATTCTTGAAAAAGCATTTTACTAAGATTGTATTGAAAATACTTGAATCCCTGCGAAAAATTTTATTACTTATAAAAATATTTCAATTCTTGCAAAGAATTTAAAAAAATTTTTTTAAAAATAATCGAATTCTTTAGAGAAACTTAATTAAAATAGTATATTGAAAATAATTAAAATCTTTTAAGAAATGTTATTAAATTTGTATTAAAAATAATTGAATTCCTGTGAAGAATTTTATTTTTTATGCAAATATTGAAATTGTTTCGGAGAATTTTATTAAAATTTCTGAAAATACTAAAAAATTATAATTAATTATTCGATTAGTTAGTAATCGAATTTTTTTTAATTCTTAGTTTAGTTTGTAATTTGTTAAAATATTTATAATAAAAAAATCATTCGTTTATTTGAACGTTCTGAAATTTTAGAATATATGAAACTAATATAATTAAATAAAAAAATTTAATATCTTTTTTTTTTGTGAAACCATTATCTTTAATTCCTTTATTATAAAAGGCCTACGTACGTTTTTTTACATCTTTGATATAATTGAATTTAATTCCTGTTAATTTAATATTTATTTTATTATTTGATTGGATTTTTTTATAATAGTATATTTATATTAATCAACTAGTCTTAAATTCAATTAAAAAAAACGTACAAAGACCTTTTTTTAAATGAAAAAAAAATTGTTTCTTAACAATTAAAATATTGCTTATTGACAACAAGGGAATAAAACATTAAGTATATTTATTTGTATAACATTTGCACATTTTCCGACAGTTTAGTAACTGTTATTTTATAAAGATTCAAAAAAAAAAATTTCAAACAAAAAAATTCACTTTTATGAAAAAAATATTTGTTCTATTTTTATTTTTAAGGAACCACAGCCAGTATAAAAAGAAGTTTTAATAAAAAAGTTTCGAGAAAGTTTCCTATAAGAATTTTCAACTGAGAAAAATTTTTCGTCTCGTCAAACTTTTTTCCATATTTATAAAAGAAAAACAAACTATTTTATTCACATCACGTAAAAATTCAGCAAACAAACTTTTACCAAGCAATTTTTTAAATTATAAACAAAAAAGTAATATGGACAAATAAATCCATTTTTATCTCCCAAAGAAAAAATTTTCTAACTTAAGATAAAATACTATTTTTCTTTATTGCGCAAAAATGCTAAAAATTAAATTCTTTTGAAAATTAGGTTGAATGGAAAAAATTGTTGCCTTTTTCGTTATATGAAAATATTATGCAAAAATACTTTAATTTAAAAACTTATGCGCTTGTTTAACAACTTGTTTTTCTAGTGCCACTACATACATGCGAGTCTAAAGCTGCTCAAAGCTGGAAACGAAACATTTTTCGGATACAGGAAATGTGGTTGTGTCATTTTAAAGCCCGTTACACAAAAGCAGGACTAAAGCTTAAGTTAATTTGCATTCTTTATTTTTTGCGCTAAAATTCTTTTCTTTGCTGCAACGCTAAAAAATAAAAAAAATTTCCTTGACATCGCTAAAAGAAAGTATAATATTAAAAAAGTTTCACTTTAGGAATTCCTTTTTTGTAATCGAGAGATGGACAATAAATTCTTGTATTTATATTGCAGGCCTCAGGACTGAATTAAAAAATGAAAAATAGTATCAAAAGTGTCATAAAATGTTCGTAATTGTCGCAAAATAAACGTACTTTTATTTATTTACACATAATAACATTTTTTTAGTTATAAAACATATAAAAAAGTTTTCTCCACTTGAGAACGCCAAGGTCGCCACCAGGTGGCGAGGAATTTGGTTTTATAAACTTAACTGCCATCTAGCGGTGACCTTGGCGTTCGCAGGTGGGAATAGCACCTCTGTTCTTAATTCTATACCTAATTATTAATATCTAGTCAGAAATTAATTATTATTAACTATAATAATCTGATAATTCTGTCCACAGTTTGAAGTTAGTTTTTGTGTATGCTTTTGTTTTTTTCTTTCTTTAAAAAATATTGTTTGATAAAACAAAAATTATTATTATTTTCTGCAATCATTTGTAGCTTCTCCAAAATTCAATTCTTTGTAGTGTTTTTAACAAACATTCTTCTATAAATCAATTATTTTTAATAATTTTTGAAAAAGTTCTTTGAAAATTTTCAAATTCATCTATTTACAATTTAATTTTACAAAATTTCAATTATTCGGAAATTCATCAATTAAATAGATATATTTGAAAATAAAAACTTTAAATAATTTCAAAAAAAATTCAATTAAACTTTTGAAAAAATATTAATTCTACAAAACTGTTAGTTAAAAGTATGAAAAATTCAAATTTTCACCGATTTTCATTTGAAACATTTTCAAAATTCAATTATTTTTAAAAATTCATGCTATAATGCTTTAAACATTCAATAATTATTATCTAAAATTTTTAACTGAAATGCATTTTTAAATCAATTTTTATTAAGAAACTTTATGAGAATTTAATTATTTAAATACAAAACTAAATAATTTATTTAATAATTGAATGTTTCTTAAAATTGAATTTTCATAAAGAATTTTATCAATAAAATTTTAAATAATTTTATGAATTCTTTCGAGGAATTTTAATAAAATTTTAAGAATAATTACATTTTTCGTAAAATTTGGTTAAAATTGTATTGAAAATAATTGAAATTCTACGCAAATTTATGAAAATAATTAAATCCCCCGTTAAAAAATTATATTATTTATGAAAATAACTAAATTAATGTTAAGAAATTTATAAAAAAAATTGTTAATTGAATTCCTATGAAATTTTTATTATTTTTGAAAATATAAAAATTTCGTTTTAATAATTGAATTCTTTTGAAAAATTTTATTAATATATATTGAAAATCATTTAATTGAAGACAATTTTTGAAAATAATTTAAAATTGCTAAGAATTTTATTAAAATTTTTTAACGTAGAGTGTTTTCAGGACCTTAATTTTTGTCAAATAAAATTGTTTATATTAATATAAATAAAATAATAATAATAATAATAATAATAATAATAATAATAATAATAATAATAATAATAATATATTAATAATTGAATTTCAGAGAAAAATTTTATAATATACAAATGAAAATATTTGAAATTTTAGCGAAAATTTAAAAAAAATTTCAACATAATTGAACTTTATTCTACTTTTGAAAATAATTGAATTTCTGCAATCATTTGTAACTTTTCCAAAATCAATTTTTTTTAGTGTTTTTAAACTAAAATTCTTCTATAAATCTATTATTTTTAATAATCAATTAAACTAAAAAATTAACTAATTTCAAAAGAATTTGAATTATTAAAATTTTTCAAAAATCTAAGTTCTCTTTAAAATTTCTAAATAAATTAATTAAAAATTGAAATTTTTCTAAAACTTTAAATTAAAACCTTTTGAAGTTCATCTATTTATGAAAATCGTAAACGCAATTCTTTTAAATAACAATTAATTTTGAAATATTTAAGTAAAATTATTTAATAAATTAATTTTTAGATTTTTGGAAGTCATATATAAATTATTCATTAAATAATTTCTAAGAGTAATCATTTACTGACAGTTCTTAAAGAATTAAGTTATTTTAAAAGAAATTATTATCAGAACTAGAAAAAATTTCAAGGTTTTGTATTTAGAATTCGTGTTAATTTCATAGTTTACGACGCAAACCAAAAAGGAACCAAAATTGAAATATTTCTTATAAATTCTAAAAATTAAATTTTTTCCAGTAGGTACTTTTAATAAAAATCCCTGACTTTTCTCTGAATTCCCTGTGTCAGAATATATATATGTATGATTATTATAGTTATAATAGTAATAAAACTTTATTCCAATTCATATTTTATTTTTATGACAAAAATTTGAATTAAAAATTTTTAAATTCTAGGTATTTTTAAATTTCTGATTTTATTTCAAAATTGAAGTAAAAATTTAGCGCGCGAATTGTTGCTAATTCAAATAATATTTAAAATGTCGTATGTAGTCCGAGGCCTGTTATTGATATGATTGTAAAATTTGTTCAGCCTGCTCCTCAATTGAATAAAAAAATTCAAAAATTTAATAGTCACGAGAAAAAAGTGTTGTTTCTTGATACATTTTTGAATTTGAAAAATTTTTATATAAAAAATATTTCTTTGACCAAGTCTTGAGTCCTCCGCCGTATAACGGGCAACACTTTTTTTATTCTTTTCATGGAACGACAATATAGTATATCTTAACAAATATAGACTTATACACTTACAATTTAAATTTGGGCGAAAAAACGTGTAATTTGTTTAAATTCTTCTTTTATTTGTATGACGATTCGAAGAAAATTATTCACGTTTTTTCAAAATTGCTTTTTTTTGTGAATAAAAGAAAACTAAGTGATTTTACGCTTGCTTTTGATTTTTCGAGGAAAATTTTTTTTTTCTGCATAAAAGCATTTTTAGAAATAAGTAAATTCAATTATTTTTCATTTATTCACATTCTTGATAAGAATGAGCACTGTCCAACGGTATTTTATATTTTTTTTTATAAACTATATAACAACAAAAATAATTGTTTATATATTTTTTTTTGTTGCTCTCGTTCAATATTGTGTACTATATAAATCTTAATTACTCACGTGAGTTTTCTATAAGCTTCTTGATAAATATAATCTCTTCATTTTTTTCTGTTTTCTTTTTTTTCATTTGGAGTCATTTCTCGATTTCTGGTCCCTTTCAATTCTCTCTTTCATTCATACAATCGATTCCAATATGTTTTATTGAAAAATTCAACAAAAGGTTATCAAATTTTTAAATTGTCTCAATTTTTCCAAAGGTAACATATAAAATTAATAAAAATTGTACAATATTGAATATTATTAAAAAAAATTGAAATAATAATAAATATAATTGCTAAAGACTTTAAAAATTTAATAATTTTTTTCTTGTCTTAAAAGTATTTTTATTTTTTTTATTATATTCTGGTTTTTTTGAAAAACGAATTGACGATTGGAAATTTGTTGGACAGTGGCGAGAAAGCGATTTGAATTTATTTGATATAATAACACTCCTTACCCTCGATCTCTCATCGTATATTATATATTCGCTTGAAATTGTTTGTTTTCCATGTTTTTTGCAGTCATCGAATATAATGGGCCATTTAGAAATGCAACACTCTTCAATATATATTCTCGGTTCGGTTCGTTGGGATTTTAAATTTCGTAATTGCGAAATTTATTGACAACCTCACTTGGAGGTTGTGATTCCCAATTGACATCTTTGCGTGCGCCATAGTGAATATTTGCGCCTCCTTCTGATGCTCGTCTGTGAGCGTTCATCGGTTGACTCCTCAAGAAATTTGGAGGACCACCAGCACTTGCGCTATCCGGCAACATCCTGTCCTTCGTCTTTGGTGTGCTCCAGTGCATAGACTAATAAAACAGAAAATTAATAACATTTTTTCAATTTCATTTTAATCATACTGTTATCATTAATTAATAGGGAATTACAATAATTTATCATAACCTGTTCTTAATATGCAAAAAAATAATTTCATATTGAGATGAGGGACATTAATTTTTATAGTTTTCATTTAATTTAATTTAATTCTTTTTTTATTGAAATAAATCCAAGAGTCACATAATAGACCAATTGCAGGATTATCATTTATAAATTTTCGAAAATGGCACAAAATAATCAATTCCAATACTAATGCCCGGTTCCACTAATCTCGATTAAGACATTAACGGACCGTCAAATTTCTACTTGCGTTTCACCAACTTTTAACGGAACGTTATCTCGATTTAACCGATGTTGAATCTAACCGGCCACAATAGCTCGGTTAACGTGTGTTAACAGCCGGTTAACGTATTCTAACCTAAAAAGTGTTTTGAAAAGTGACAGATAGTGAAATTCTTGTTGCTAGAAAAATAAATTTTATGAACCATAAGTCAGTAAAATTAAGGGAAAAGTCAAATAAATTTTATTTCAAAGAAATTTTAATTCAATTGTTCAAAGATACTTCAATTTTGTAAATAAATTCTATTAAAAAATAAACACATTAATTGAAATTTTCTTTAAATTAATACAAATTTTAAATAATGTTATTTAAAATTCGGTTAAAATTGTAAATTTTAATTCAATTGTTGAAAGATTTGAATTTTTAAAATAATTTTATTAAGAAATAATAAAAAATTTGTTGGGGCGGTATCAATTTCCCACAATTCAAGTGTATATAGGAAAACTGAATAAGTTAAAATGCATACGAGAAAACTATATACAAGTAAATTTAAAAAATAAAATCATTAAATTATGTACTTTCGATTCACAGTCAGCGAAATGAGCAACTCAAAAAAAGAACAATTTTATTCAAGGCAACCATTTAGATTTTTATATCTCAATTTTTTCATTGGATTTTTAATTTCTTTGGACTTTTTGATCAGGACAGTAAGAAATTTTATTTTTAGCTGTTTCAATTTTTGAAAGAGGGATCAGGGAAAAAGTCAAAATTCTATCTAGAAAACGTACACTTTTCGTTAGAATTGACCAATCATAATAAAGTACTATTGTTATTTCGAACATAGTATACGTTTAGTTAACCATGGCTTATAACATGTTGGTGGAACGCATAGGCGGTTAAAGTCAACTTAACAGCGCCTTAAACTTTAGCGGACCGTTAGTTAATCGAACCTTTAACTACGAGTTGGTGGAACCGGGCATAAAAGTTTATTTCAGTTATAGTGAGTTATAGGCAGTTACAGTCTTGTAAAATTGAAAGCAGTAGTAAAAGTCAATTTAAATCAGACTGGAAATATCAACTAAGAACTTCCTATATAGAAAGTTATATAATATTCTATAGAAAGGATATTGATGTACAAAACCCAATAAAAATTAGTTCATTCATAAATAATAAATAATGAAACTCATCGTAGAATTTCAATTATTTTTAATACAATTTTAATAGAATTCCTCGAAAAATATAATTATATTCTTAAATTTTTTTTCAAAATTCGTCAAAAGAGTTCAATTATTTAAAAATTTGTTGATAAAATTCTTTATGAGAATTCAATTTTTAGAAACATTCAATTATTTATTTTTTGTATTTAAATAATTGAATTCTCATAAAGAATTTTCTAATTTACTGAAAGTTTATTTAAAAATGAATTTCAGTTAAAATTTTTTCTTGAAATAATTGAATTTTGAAAGGGTATCAAATTAAAATCTTTTAAAATGATTTAAGAAATTCAATTATTTTCAAAAGGTATAAAATTCTTAGCAGTACTTCAATTATGTTAAAAAAATTTTTAAATTCTGGTTAAAATTTCGATTGCCTTTATAAATAATAAAATTCTTCTCCGAAATTCAATTATTTACAAAAAATTTAATAAAATTCTTGGCAAAATTTCAATTATTTTCAAAAATTGTCCTCAATTGAATGATTTTCAATATCTAGTATTTTAATAAAATTTTCCAAAAGAATTCAATCATTTAAAACAAATTCTAATAAAATTCTTGGCAAACATTTAATTATTTTCATAAATAATAAAAATTTCACATGAATTCAATTATTTTTATAAATAATAAAATTCTTAGCAAAATTTCAATTATTTATTTTAATACCATTTTAATTAAATTTTTTAATCGAAGTCTTTAAATTCGTCGAAAGAATTCAATTATTTAAAAATTACTTGATAAAATTTTCTATGAGAATTCAATTTTTAGAAACATTCAATTACACTGTGCGACACATTTTTTTCCCAGCTGGCACAGTAATTTAATCCTGCAAGGGTTTTTAAAACATAGCTCAAATTTATTTTTTATAAGCATTTGAACTTAACTCATTTTTGTGAAATTTTCTTAAAATTTCCAATCTTTAGCTACATAAATAGAAATATGAATGAAGTAATGAGTCAAATATAAGTATATTTAAAAAAATGGAAATAAAAATGTGTAAGTGTATAGTACTTATTGATTATAAAAGCTATTTTAATGAGCTTTTCTGCATTTTTTTCAACAATTTTTTTATAACCATAATGTAAATAAATAATCAGATTTTAATTGTTTAATAATTTTTCCAAGCAAAAAATGTTCAAAACAATTTTCTTCAACAATCTATTTTTAAAATTATATATCACAGAAGACGCAAGATTTTTCAAAAATATCAAAAATTGTAAAATGAATTTTTAAATTTCATAAAAATATAAAATGAACTAAGTTTGCAAACTCCTTTGGAGTTTCATTATTGCATACGTCTACTTTAATTTAGACCTACACTCATTTGGGAAAGAAACAATAAACCGAAAATTGTTGCACAGTGTTATTTATTTTTGTATTTAAATAATTACCTAAATTCTCGTAGAATTTTCTAATATTAATTGATTTAAAAGTAAATTTCAGTTAAAAAAATTTTTTTTAAATAATTGAATTTTGAATAGGTTTCAAATTCAAATCTTTGAAAATAATTAAATAAATTCAATTATTTACGAAAGGAATAAAATTTTTCGCAGAAATTCAATTACTTACGTTAAGAAATATTATAAATAATTCTCGTCAAAATTTCAATTATCTTTAAAAATAATAAAATTCTTCTCCGAAATTCAATTATTTTCAAAAATTTTAATGAAATTCTTGGCAAAATTTCAATTATTTTCATAAAATCTTCCTCAATTCAATGATTTTCAATATCTACGCTATTTTCATAAGTTTTCAAAAGAATTTAATGATTTAAAAGAAATTTGAATAAAATCGTACGCAAACTTTGAATTATTTTATTTCATAAATCATAAAAATTCCATACAGAAATTCAATTATTTTCATAAATAATACAATCTTTTATAGGAATTTAATTATTTTCTTAAATAATAAAACTCATTGCAGAATTTCAATTATTTTTAATACAATTTTAATCGAATTCCTCGAAAAATGTAATTATTCTTACAAATTTTATTAAAATTTGTCGAAGTACTTCATTTATTTTATGAAACTTGGTACCCTAAGGTTTCTGGGGTCGCTGATTACGAATCTGACATCAGTTTTTCGAAATTCAAAATGGCGGATCCAAAATGGCAGAAATTTTTTCAAAATTCGTCGAATTTGCTTGAAACTTGTTACTCGAGGGTTTTAAGGGTCGCTGATTACGAATCTAACATTAGTTTTCCAAAATTCAAAATGGCGGATCCAATATGGCGGACAACGAAATAAAAAATTGATCAGATTGGCTTGAAACTGAATACTTGGGGATTTTCAGGGTCGCTGATTACGAATCTGAAATTAGTTTTTCAAAATTCAAAATATCTGGTTCAATATGGCGGAAAATTTTTTAAAATTTATTGAATTTGTTTGAAACTGGTTAATCTGACATCAGTATGATAATTTTTGGTGAAATTAAATTTCGATAAATACCCTGAAAAAATAATGACAGATTCGTAATCAGCGACCCTAAAAACCCCCGAGTATTCAGTTTCAAGCCAATCTGATAAATTTTTTATTTCGTTGTCCGCCATATTGGATCCGCCATTTTGAATTTTGGAAAACTAATGTTAGATTCGTAATCAGCGACCCTTAAAACGGGTTAAAATTTATACAAGTAGTAAAAGACAGAAGGGTTAAACTGTTATACAGTTTTTAGTACATTCAACTCTTGTGGAAGTAGTAAAACCAATTTCTAGTCAGACAAAAGTATTTACATAATTTTCATTCTTCTTTTACTTTCAGTAGTAGAAACAAGTTTAAGTCAGGCATTTAAATTTCCTAATTAATGTTATTTTACATTTCCACACTATCACCATTTTCCACATTGAGAAATAAATTCTCAAGTTTAGAGGATTTCCTCTTATTTTTCGAGATCCACAAATTTCGAACATTAAAAAAGGGAGATTTTTAAAATTAATTAACAATTTATTGTATTAGCATAGGTATAGAATTTTTAAAAAGATTTTTACACTTTTTCTTTTCGTTACATGTTCTTTAAATCAGATTTTTTGTTTAATTATTTTCTGTTTTATTAATAGGATATATTTTTTTACTATTCTTTTTCGTAGTCTGCAATTTTTCTAAAATTTGAATTAAAATTTTTGTTACAACTTTACTTTTGTTTTTAAAATTTCATGAATTTTATATTACAATATTCGAAGTAAATTGCAACAAAAAATATTAGTAAAATTTACTTCAAATTTATTAAGGTTCACTCCAAAAATAGTAAACTTTGACTCTGTCAAACAAATTTTTATACAAAAATTAACTTTCGAATTATAGTAAAATTTGCAATTATAAAAATCGTTATTTCAACAGTAAATTTTATAATTTATTCTGAAAATAGTACAAGTTGACAGAAATTCCAAACAGTTTGGTTATTTAATTTACAGAGAGTAAAAGTTACTTTATATAATTGTTACTTCGTATAAAAAAATTTCGAAATTCAAAGAATCTGATA